ATGTAGTACTAATACGTAGCAAATGAATGATTGTCAATTGGTTTTTCTCGGACCTTTCATGACGCGGTTTGACATATCTATCATATCCGAGACTTTACATGTCTCACCATGGGTCGCGATGTGACGTCACCATCCGCTGTGGGGGCCATCTGGATATGCAGACATCACAGCATCCTCCGTTATGTTCTCTGGGAGCGATGTACCGTCACAGTCTGCTCAACGGTCCTCTCCCCTCGTTCGGTGACGTCACATATTTCTGTGTTGGTCTCTACAGTCGTGCTGTGACGTCACGGTCCGTGGTCCTGCTCCGTCATCCATCACGCGCGGACGCGGATTCATGGGACGTGACCGGCAGCTTCCCACTGCCGGCCAGGTCAGCCGCACTCGGTGATCTCCCAGACCCTGGAAGGGAACCAGGTTAACACAGACGCACCATTCACCAACCAGACATGTGCCTGTTGCATAGATACACCAATACGGCGCAAAGGGATGGGCTGCCAACAATTCATCTACGCATCAGGTTATGTCATCTTTTCATGTTTCATGGAGTAAGTAGCCTTTGCTTTCATGGTCGTTGCCTCTTTGCGCTACAACGTTTTTGCGGAGCGCTGTATTTGACGTGGTACGTGTGAGAAGTAGGCTGCCAAAGTCCTATCAGCCAGCCCTGCTGTGATAGCTACTAACTTAAGCAGAGGCGTCGCGGTAGTGTAAGCTGAAGCGAGTTGTGTTATAAGTAGCAGTATCTCCGTTGTTCTGCGCTTGGCGAGGTTAACAGCTTCCTTTCAGAATCTCAATTGTAGTCTCGTTGCAAACAAGGCTACAGCTGGCTGCGTGTCGTGTCGTGTTTCTTCTGCCTATTGGAGCGGAACATGGGCTGCGACCCGCCCGTCACCCCCACGGGTCTGACAGGCGGAATGTGCTGACGTCGGCACGTGGAAGCAGCGGTGCATCCTGACGGCTGGTGCGTACTGACAACGGACCGGCCCTGACCGACCGACACGCAGAGACGACAAACTGTCGCGGACGGACCGGCACGCAGGGACAACGGACTGTCCCTGACCGGCCGGCAAGCAGGGGCGACGAACTTCTCCTGGCCGGCCGGCCAGCAGGTGTGACGGACTGTCCCTGATCAGCCGGCGCCCAGCGACGACAGGTTGTCCCTAAACCTTTGAACCTACACAGGGACAACAGCCTGTTCCTGACCGACCGTCATGCAGGGACGACGGGCCGTCCCTGACTAACCGGCACGCAGGGGCGGCGGAATGTCCCTGACCGGCCGGCAAGCAGGGACGACGGACCGTCTCCGACCGGCCGGCAAGCAGGGACGAGGGACCGTCCCCGACCGACCGGCACGCAGGGACAACAGACTGTCCCTGACCGGCCGGCAAGCAGGCGCGACCAGCTGTTCCTGACTGGCCCCATTCGTAAAGCGAGGGCTCACAAGTCCACGTAACAGCTGATGTCTAATTCAAGTGACTTATTCGTTAAGGGAAGTATACCAGCGGCGGCGGATCCAGAGGGGCGCATGGATGCATGCCCCTTGTACCCCGATGGGACCCATAGGCTCCGAAAGAGTCCATGACCGGTTGAATGGACGCAGTTTTCTTATGTGAAATACAACAAAATTGGACATATTTGAGCCTCCAGACAATCAAAAACAGTCGCAGGCGAAAGTGAACAGCCATTTAGCAGACAAAGATAATTTCTCGCTTATTAAGAGGTGGTGAGTGGGGGACATTTTGAGGCTCATTACGCTATTCAGAGGCGTTACGCTGTTGCCGAGGCCTTTTATGCCCACTTGCCGGGTCATTCCGATCGCTGAGGAGCCTTCCGCGCTGTTCCTGACCTCTTTGCATTTTCTCGTAGGGCGCTATGCTGCTGTTGGGACGCTATCTGTTAGCATGCCTGGACACTTTTGATCGATCAGGACACCCCACAAATTATTCCCTTTCGCCCAAAAGGCTCTTCACGCTTTTAACGGGCCTGTGAGTATGTTTTCTTGGAGGGGCCTAAACTCTAGCAGTCCCCACAGTGTTGCGCGCCCCTCCCTCCCCCCCCCCCCCCCGACGAAATCCTGGGTCCGTACATGGAAATTTGCCAAAACGTTTGCGTAATAAATGCTAGAAGAGCTAGAAACGCTCTGTTTACACAAAAACAATTAGCAGGTATGAGCCTGTTGTCCCACGAATTCAACGAAACGTTATACTATCCCCTTGATTTTCTCCCACGGTGTTTTCGTGTACAATGCCTCTTTTCAAGGCGCATTATGGCTTTGGGAACGGGAGTATCGCATGGTCCACAATAAGACACTGGTGCAAACTTTGACCAATGAGCTTCTCGGTAACAGGTCCTTGCCGCCTGCTGGGTCAATCACAAACGTTCTTTTATTCGCAACGGCAAAGGTGCCACGGCGACTGTCATGACGGCGGTCGCTACTGCAGGAAAGAAGCGTAGTGTTGTTACAGATCGTTGACAGCGTAATTTGGGCTAAAAAAATATTGAAATTGATATCCGCATCATGTCTGAATTGTGCAGCAGTGGCACTTCCCAGAACTATTGCAAGACGTAACTGATCCTTAGGTTTCATTAGAGTATGCTTTTGAAATGAGCGCAAAGATGAAACGCTCACGTTTATACGTTACACTCACGCACTCACGTTTATCCGTTATAATTTGTATATCCCATCAAAACGTGACTGACTTGTTTATCACGTTCAAAGTAATGCACGCCATTTCTGCCGAACATTTGGAAGCAGGCTGCCGCTAATCGACGACATCGACATCGACATCGACATCCTCATCGACAGCGATCGGCCGCGGCTTAGTCTGATTGGCAGAAATATCTTAATGTCGGATTGGCCAGTGAGTACCACTAGCCTAGTCAGCTCCAAAGCATGCCAGTCATGAAGCAGATGACTTTAACGCGATACACAGCAGGCCACTGTTGATCTATTTCGATGGTTTTGCAGTCTGACGAGAAAACAGAATTCCTTCCAGGCACCGGAAACGACAGTCCAAGCCTCCACCGTACAATCACACCGCACGTGGCTCATAGATTGATACGCTCCCGGGTGGCCGGTTGGATACTCTTCGCTTGGGTGGGGGTCAATTTGACTCCACCATGCGATCTCAGAAACTAACAGAGCTGGAGACACCGAAGTCATAGGGCGTGTTGGCCTGTACATGAATTCACTGCGTTCAAAGTTTAAGGCTCATTGGTCATGAATTTCGGGTCAAAAAAGGTTAAACAAGGTTAAACACCAGGTTGGTTTCAAAGTGCCCCAGCACCTAAATACCTGCTCTAAGCAAATGGTCATATGCTCATTTAAGATCAGTGACCTTGTTTTAACTTTCGAAGGTCATTGGGACCAACATTATGAAAGACTGTCTTTAGTTTTGCATTTGAACAAGCGACAAAGATTACATTAGGCAGCATATTCCTAGAAACAAAGAGATTGCCTGTGTCATTTAGGCCAGTGAGCTATTTTGAACTCTGAGAAATCCATGAAAGATGTATAATGTGGCTTGTGTCACCAATAAATTCGAAACGAGCACCAGAATATACAGCAAGCCCTAGAGTAATAATACAGGCTGGTTTTGACCGCGGTCTGACCCTAATACCTGACACTTTGTCAGTGGAATTCATTCATTCAGCCATTGTGCTGCCTAAGAAAGTACCCCAGAGATGTATGGCTTCGTCTAACACTCCTTTGTTGCATCAGGTTGAATGGATTCTTAGCAGCTGACTTCGCTGAACCAGTGGTCTGACTTTGACATGCCGTAGGTCAGCAACCTTACACGGTACATCAAAATTTTGATGCCAGACAATCTGGCATTCAATCGTCTACAGCTAGGTAAAATTTGGCGTGGCTACGCCGTGCCGTTCGGAAACCATTCCAGAAAACCTTTGCGGGTTAAATTGACCCCCACCCGAGCGCGTGTTAATCGCACGCAGTGTGGGTGACTACCCGGGGCGCATAGGTGTATCCTACCTAGTCAGTGGCGTCTGCCGGCAATGCAATCAAAAATCACCTGAGAGATACGGACAGCGGATTGGCACGTTGGAATCGTTGAGGCTGCATAACTAGAAGTGATGACTCACAGTGTATTGTTGTTTTATTGTTCTATAGAACATGAGAAAACATCATGTCCCATATTATTGAATTCGCCTGCGCATATAGTACACAGGAACGTCCGTTGTAAAGAAGTTCCCTTTACGGATATCATGTACACAAAAAATCAACGTGGATCCATGATCCTGCTATGCAGTTAGTCCGCCATGGTCAATGAACAAGTATGCTGAACAGTGTTTAGACAGGCACTGGACGTATACACACACTGATAGGTTTTCTGGCGTGATTCGGTATTACGTAAGAAACCCTGGCATGGGTGTTCAGAATAGGTGTAATAATTTTCGTCAGTCGTAGACCGCATCAGCTTCCCTTCTGCACACATAAAGATGGCGTAAGTTCTTGTCTGCAGTGCACCCTCGTGTGATACCCGGGAGCATTGAATTCCCCTCCGAGTTCTGGCCTTGCCAATGCAAGTTGGGGATGTACGCGATGGCAGGTTCAAAGTGCGTGTGATCAAACGTCAATAACCGTGACTTCACCGTTTTCATCCGTTTAACCCACCGTATGCCGACTTGACCCCCGCAAATGGGCTTGACCAACAGCACCTGACCTTGACCCACCGTGTGCAGCCTTGCCCCACCGATTATGACTTCGAACCACGGCACATGACTTAACCCCAATGCGCGTGGCCTTGATCCACGGCGTGCGACCTTGACCTATCGAGTATCACCTTGACCTGCTACGTGCGACCTTGACCCAGGGACGTGTCAGCCATGACCTGATGACCGGGTGTCGTGCAGACGTCTAATGCCGGCGCACCTGCTGCTCCCGATCAATGGCGACACGTCGGTGCAGGGGGAAGGAGGGAGGGCACGGTCGAAAAGTCGGCCCGCAGCTAGTGCGAGCGGTCCGGCAGAGCCGACGGCGCGTGCCGAGGGTGTGTGCCGCGTGGCAGGTGGAGCGCACTTCGTATCCGGTGACGTATGAGGCGCATGGGACATGTGTGATCTTCAACGAAACCTGTTGCATCCAGTGCTGTGTCCAGTAGGACTTGTTGTGTGCAGCGAACCCTGCAGTCTGTATCAATTCCTTGTCAGTGTATTTGCACGCAGCTGGAGGGAGTGTTCCACATTTGTATGGGGCTTTGAACTGAAATAGCCATCTTGAATATAATTCGGTCCCGTTCACAACCCTGTCCTTCTTACAACCAAACCCTTTTCAGATTTTTTGCATCACGTCTGCGAAGAAGTGCAGACTATTTCGGGTAGACTATTTTAAGGTCACCTAGGTATCCATTACCCCACAATAATGTCATTCAGATATTGTCATTCTACTGACCACGTGGCGACCAAGGCAAAGAAAAAGCATGATTGTCGTGTCGCTCATATCCGGCGTTTGTGAGCGCGTTTCCAGATATAACGGCCGCCAATTGGCCTTCGATCGATGTTGAGCAAGGTACGATAGCGCAATCAAGCAATAACGTATTGAGGAGCATAGTTTAGAGCAGCGTTTATGTTTTAAAAGTATACCAATAGTTATAAATGAGCTTATTTTACCACATGTGATGCTTGCTTCAAGATCTTCAAATGTAGAACGTTCCCCTGAGCTGGAAGGTATCCAGCGAACCCAGACTGTCATCCAGCAGCTTATTTTTGAAGCATGTGCGTACTGGTTATCTGCTAAGTGCACTGCTGGACCCAGTGAGTGCCGTCGCGTTCAGTGCCCCCCGCCATGCCCCATGAATCTCACCCTGCCATGCCCCATGAATCTCACCCTGCCAAGTGTCCCCCACTCTGCTAGCCGATGCCTGCTGTGCCCCTGGTTCATAAGTGTTTCTTTTGCTAGAAGATCGCGCAGTGTCCAGTACGTCACTTAGTGCTTTTGTGCGCAGTGATTAATTTCGTGACCGCGCGGATCCATTTAAAAAAGTGTACGTTGTTTTTTAAAGGGAATACTGCTGTGCACAGCAAACCTGGGATTGAGCCTGCGGCGAATATAGTGAACTGAACTTTGCACAGTTAATCTCGGTATGATTATATCAGTTGTGTGTACGGAGAAGCCTGCGTGACGTTTGGTATGGATGCCCTTTCAAGTAAACCTTGAAGGGCCAACGTTAAGCCTTTATCGAATCGAACCAAATGTTTTGTTAACTAGGTTGCCTGATGCCGTAGTAGAAAATGAGCCCATGACTTTTGGCGCCTCGGTTTACGATAACTTCTTTTGTTGCGATGAAAACTGTTAATTAGGATGCTTCACTATTAATCGACGCATGCATGCACATGCTAACGTCGTTACAACGCAGACCGTGGTGGAAGATTGATCAAGATCTGATACCACTGTAACAGCACGACGGGGGAAATAATCTAGTCTTGTGGAACGGGGAACTAAGACTACGTTTTCTTGGTCAATGGTGAGACGTTATCTTCGAGGCGTCAATTTCGGTCCTCGCGCTTAGGAACCATGCCGCTCAGGACATCCACATGAGAACGAGCGCGCTTGCGAAATTACCAGGTGGTTCGGAAAACATAGACTTTGACTGTCATGACCATTTCACTTAAGCCCGGTCAACACCCAGTCCGTGACGAATTCGCAACGCCTGCAGAATGAGCGTGTCCGCAATGAAGCGAGGAAGCTAAAATTGGCATGCGCAGAAGCGTTGATGGCCCCTCGGTGCCCCCGTGGCAGTGCGGATAGGGCGCGAACTGTGAAGTTCATGCCGGAACGCGCATCGTACGCCGCAGACACGCCATACTCACGGCGCGCATTCCAAGTTCAAACGCGCGTACGTGAAGGAGCAGAACCACTGTCATTTCTGCCACGATTCCATCGCTCGTGTTCTGGTTAAGGGCAAGGAGCAGAAACGCGGCGAACACCGTTCAGATTAGTGTTCTGTTTAGTCAGAGCACTGCAGGCTGAACGAGCAGCATTCAGTTAGCTCGTGACTTTCACATTACCTCTTCCAATTTTGCTGGCTTTGTTATTTCCGTACTGTTATTTTTTATCCAATCAAGTTAAGCCTGAAGTGTGTCTGGTCTTAGCCAAAGCCTAGCCAAATAGGCAATGCTTTGTGGGGAGACCGCATGGAGATTGCCATGTTGCCATGCGGTACATGATACCATGTTGTTGTGTCGTGGCTTTCGACGTGCGAGGAAAATAAAACCTGTTGGCTGTTTTGTGTGATCTATGAACGAGGGAGGTTAGCTTGTCCAGATGTATTTGGAAGCGGAGGAGGAAAACCGCGGGACAAGACGTAACAATGGCTCTCGCACCCATGTTCTTCTCCCGCTGCTTTCCTCCTCCGCTTCCCAAATACCCCAGGAGCAGCAAACCTTCCCCGTCCATAGTTACATAACAAAGCACAGATTTCGCTGCCTTGACACTTTCAAAGCCACGACGAAGCCATTTGAACTCAATGGTTAGCAATCAATATAGTAATCGATAGTTAGGAATTTTCAGCTCGCTCCGTAGCCTTGAGGAGCCGTTACGGAAGCGGCCCGATGATCCGGAGGCTGCCAGATTTTAACTTCACTTGGAGACTTTTGTGCAGACATTTGTCTCGAGATTTTTTACTTGCGGCGGTCGGTATCCGTTACGGAGCCGGTGTGCATGAGGCTTCAGGCTTGAGATCATGCCTTAATCATGTTTACAGCGTGACACTGCGCTAGGCTTTAGCGCAGCATACCATTACTACCCCCTCCCCTACCCCACAGGAGCTCGCCAGCAACAGCGGCAAATCAACAGCAGCGATGGACAAGTACGACCAGCTGGGCATTGTGGGCGAAGGCTCGTACGGGGTGGTGCTGAAGTGTCGCCACCGCGAGTCGGGCAGGCTGGTGGCCATCAAACGCTTCCTCGAGGGCGAGGAGGACGATCCGCACGTCAGGAAGGTGGCCATGCGCGAGATACGCATGCTGAAGGTGGGTGGAGGATGCGAACCACATCAGGAAAGCAGCTGTTTGTGGATTGACTGTACCGAAGGTGGAATGCATCGCATTATAATTGATAAGTCAGGTTATAACAATGTCTCTTTGTGAATGATACATGCCCTTCTTATCTAGAATGTTCGTGTAAATGTTTAAGAGGACTGGCGTTGTCAGCGTGTCGTGCTATATTTCATCATTCCGCTTCCAGTGGCTACATGACAACAAACGTTCAGCACGACGGGTTATCGCTGCTGGTCGCAGTACCGTTTTGAATGCACCAGGCCGATATCGTAGCGTGTCGTGGGATTGCAGAATCTGTGTCACGAAAACGGTTTTTGTGGTGTAGTTAATTAATGCAACCAAACTCGCATCCATACATACTGGGACAAGTCCCTTTTCACTGAAGACGGGAGGCACGTCACAGGTCACAAGCTGCAGGCCGCATGCCACAGGTCGTTGGCCACAGGTCACAGGTTACAAGTCACATCAAAGGTTATAGGCTACAGGTCATATGACACAGGCCATGCGTCACGGGCCGTAGGTCGCAGGTTAAGGGCCAAAGGTTAAGGACCGCATGTCACAGGTCATAGGTCACAGGTCAAAAGTCGAAGACCACGGGCCACAGGCCGTAGGTCATAGGTCACAGGTTCAAGGTTAAGGATCACCGGTCACAGACCGTAGGTCACAGGTCAAAAGTTAAACATCACGGGTCACAGGCCGCTGGTCACAGACCGCTGGTCACAGGCCGCTGTAGCCCGGCTCTGCTTGCAGCGCCTGCGTCATGAGAACCTGGTCAACCTGCTGGAGGTGTTCCGGCGGAAGCGGAGGCTCTGCCTGGTGTTCGAATTTGTGGAGAACACGGTACTGCACCTCCTGGAGGCGCGGGAGGTCGGCGGCCTGGAGGAGGCTAGCGTGCGCAGCTACATGCTGCAGGTGCTGCGGGCTCTGCTCTTCTGTCACGGACAGGGCGTGAGTAATCCGGTCTTCTGTCACGGACAGGGCGTGAGTAATCCGGTCTTCTGTCACGGACAGGGCGTGAGTAATCCGGTCTTCTGTCACGGACAGGGCGTGAGTAATCTGGTCTTCTGTCATGGACAGGGCGTGAGTAATCTAGTCTTCTGTTACGGATAGGGCGTGAGTAATCCGGTCTTCTGTCCGGACAGGGCGTGAGTAATCTGGTCTTCTGTCACGGACAAGGCATGAGTAGTCCGGTCTTCTGTCACGGACAGGGCGTGAGTAATCCGGTCTTCTGTCACGGACAGGGCGTGAGTAATCCACTCTGCTGTCACGGACAGGGCGTGAGTAATCCTTCTCTGTAAGTGATTTAGTAAGTAAGTACTAAGTAAGTACTAAGTAAGTAAGTAAGTAAGTGATTTAGATTACTCTCTCTGAGTAATCTAAATCTTCTGTCACGGACAGGGTGTGTCTGTTCTCCGTCACCGGCAGGGTGTGGGTGGTCTGGTCTCACACCACAATCAGTGCATCAGTAGTATGGCCTTCTGCAAAAGACTGGTGCATGGTCGGGTCGCTCAATTATCCCCTAGAGTTATCCTAGATGCATACATACATATATATATATATATATATATATATATATATATATATGTATATATATATATATGTATATATATATATATATATATATCGGCAATGCATATGCGTTGCCTGTCAACCATTTATTTGCTCGAGGGGAATTACATATAGCATTCTCATCGGTAATCATGATTCGCAAGCGACACGACTTTTACTCGTACGAGGTGCCGCGGCATGACGCCTTACTCAGCGCCCTCCCCTGTTTTGCGCTATTTTTGGATGACTAGATAACGTAAAAGGCTAATAAGACGTCGTCTGCAATGTGGGAGCAGCGATAGGATGACCGAATTGCAGAGGTGAGTTGCTATCATATGGGTGAGACAAACAGCTGTGGCATTAAAACGGTATGACCGGGGGGTATCAAAACATAAGCAGATGAAGCCGCATGGACACCCTCGGGTGTCCATACTGCGGGGGTTGGCAGTGCATTATAATATTTCCCTTGCTTGTGACTGTGTGTAGTATGTGGAAGTGCACTTGCGTTTATCTCTCACGCACAGACAAACAAAACATTGTTTGAAAAATGGTTAGCTTTGGAATTGGCTTAGACCGGTGAGACCATATGACTCTAAACAATATTGATAGATCATATTCTAGATCATGTTATTCTAAGCAATATTATTCAAAGTGGTGCAAAAATTTCAACGTCTTGGATAAATGTGAGTGGTAGCAAATTTGTCTGAGTGTTGCTAAAGTTTCGTGGGGCGATCTGTGTCGGTTTAGTCTTTCGGTTCGGATCCCACAGCTTGTTGTATTCGAGGACGATCCTAAATAGAGCGATATTAGCCTTTTCTTGCATGGTGGTACTCTCACCCGTTGCAAAGTTCAAGCCTTTCAAAAGCGTGGCTGGCCAGGGGGCTGGGCGGAGCTGGAACAGCTGAAGATACAAAATATCTGATAGCTCATGTTAAACTCACTTTATCTGCGACCTCACTCGTACTAAATTACATGCTGTTGGGATGGTCGTTTGGAGTGGCTTGTCGCTAGCAATTCCGTGTGCTGCGCGTAACAGAATGTTTGTAATGGTTGTCCAAGGTAATTTTTATACCAAACGAAACCGGGGTCAAATTTTTGCGGTCCAGTAGCCCGGAATGCAGCAAGCGTGCTTAAGACATGTCAGTTTTGTCGTTTGGTTATATTCACACTTCTCGATTTACGTTTCTTCTGTCCTTTTCAACTGCTATCTTTTAACTTCTGGCTTTTGTTTCCCGCAGGTCATTCATAGAGACATCAAGCCTGAAAATGTCCTAGTTTCCGGGAGCGGCGTTGTCAAATTGTGCGACTTTGGGTTCGCCAGGCCCCTGGCGGGTCCGGGCGAAAGCTGCACTGACTATGTCGCCACTAGATGGTATCGCGCTCCCGAGCTCCTGGTCGGCGACACCACATATGGCAAGTATGTAATCAGAATGTAACAAGGGTCTGTACTTTCACTAGCAAATATAAATTAATTCTCGCCTGGTTGCCGTTCCCCTGTGCACCACTACGTGCACAATTTGGGGTTATGGCCTGTTATCCGCGCGTCCAAATGTATGTTTTAACTCGATACGTCTGTGTTTCGCACATATTGAAGGGCAAGCGCACCACCAGTAACTGAAAATTTACTCGAAATAGACAAAAGTTAACCACGCCACCAGCAGTTTACTCAGACTGACCGCACCCATAATGCCTTGGACTGATCGGCGCATGGAACGAACCTTGCTTGCGCTGCATATGGTGCGTGTTCACACGCGCTTGCATCACGTCCTACTTGCTCTTTGTTGGAGGCTTCTGATAGCAATGGTCAAAAATCTGCCTTGACGTCATCACAAACATGTGAAGGAAAGATGGAGTAATGAGCCCCTGCGGTGCAGTGCGGCGCAGAATGCGTTTGAGACCTCTGAATCAACTACACTGACAGCTGGCGCCGCCAAACAGAGTGGATTTATCGATTCGTATTCGCTTCCTTGGACACCGACATATCAACAGAAGCTGACGAGGACAAAGCGCATTCAGTGGAAATGTAACGGGGACTGCAAATATTGACCCAAATCGTAAAGTATTGCTGTCCACGGGGAAGGGCTTTCTACGGGATTCGCGTGGTTCAACTTATTTGAGAGACGCGGCTAAACGCGTAACCATGCCATTAGCACCCGTTCTGATTTCATGATTATCCAAATGGGCATGTCACTATATGTAAGTTATTCCCGGAAGGCAGTCCCGAACCAGGACTGAGACTGGCCAAGCTGCTCATCAGGCGACAATTATTGATGTATATTGAAGCAAGCACCAATTGTGAGTGCGGTGTTAAGATCGTTTGTGGATTTGCATCCATCGACAGTGATCAGTCTGTAGCCAAGGGAATAAATGCCCGGGTGTCTGCTGCCAGGGAGGCGGATGTCTGGGCGACCAGATGTCTGGGTGTCTGCTGACGCTGACCTGTCTGCCGGCAGGGAGGTGGATGTCTGGGTGTCTGTCGACGCTGACCCGTCTGACGGCAGGGAGGTGGATGTCTGGGTGTCTGTTGACGCTGACTTGTCTGCCGGCAGGGAGGTGGATGTCTGGGCAGCCGGATGTCTGTTCGCGGAGATGGTGACGGGAGAGCCCCTGTTTCCCGGCGACAGTGACGTCGATCAGCTACATCACATTCTTCAGATCACCGGTACTTATGCGGTCGTACAACTACCAGCTCACATGCGATTCGGGTGTCGCCTGGCTACGCTAGGCGGCCGTGGTAAACGCATAGACGTCAACTAAAGTGACGTCGTAGCCTCAGGGGAAGGGGTTAGCATGTTTGACCAACGGCTGCCAGGTGATGGGTTGGAGACTTTCAGTCAGCTGTATTTCAGTTTTTCTGCTACAGTCGACGTGTAGGGCTGAGATGTCAAAACGCATTCTGAAGAGTCTGTCAGAAAAGGAGGGAAACACATGATCGAAACAAGATCGACACCGAACATTGCCATGGCTGTCTGACCCAGCTCAGTCTGATAACGAGTGATCTTTGCCGGAAAACCACGAAAGCCTCTGAAGTCACGTGCGAGTATGTATGGAATGTACCCGGCGCTGGTCGGTTTTCGTCCCCTCGTGTCCTTCTGTGAACGGCACTGCCAGCTTGCGGGCGGTGGGCAATCGCATGACAGGTGGTTGTTTAATGTCAAACTGGGTGAACTGGCCGCACAAAGGCAAACCCTTTTCTAAGAATATCGCCATAAGTAGACGTAGTTCGGTGAATGGTGGCCTCCATTCGACGGCAGCTCTTCCGCGCCGCGAGTGCCGATTGTCGGCGAGGCTCGCCCGCACTCGCGGGAGGGGAGGGGGAGGGGATGATCGGACCTTGATGGGCTAGTTCTCAAACAGCCACCGACGTCTGGGCCTCTTTTTAGTAAATTAACTAAAAAATCGTTTCTTGGCACCTTTCAATTCCTTGCCATTTCAGAAAAATACCAGGGTAATGGTCTCCACCACCCAATATCGTTTCCTCAAGCTACACTTCATGGAGTTTCAACCCAATCCTGCGCCTTGCGTTGTGTAGTTGTGGGATTGTGGGATTGGGACGCCCTGGCTCTGCACCCCGGCCTGCCGACCTGGGGATATCGGTTTCGGCGGTCGGGTCCGCTGCTCGTCTGGCATGTCAGCCTACTGGTGCCCTGTGTGCGGAACACAAAGGCCGGGTGTCAGCTGGCATGGTGCTCAAACTCTCACGAAAAAACGTACCAGAAGCCCCTGCGGCACACCAGACCGTCACGCCACTTACTTGATCGCGGAAAACATTGTGATTGACCCCATTTCGCGCTGTTTGGCCGCGGCAAGTACGTTATTGTTCATAAATACATATTGTTCTGGGTGGCATACCGAGGTCTTATTGAACAGATACCGAGTTCTTTCCCGGAAAGAGCAGATTCACTGTCATTGTGAGCTCGACTAAAACACGGCTGCGGCAGCGCGCCGTGACTCATGCAGTGAGCGGACGAGTGCGGCTTTTTGCCGATGATTTCTTCCATGCAATCAACGAAAGTGAGCTCGTGCATTGTGTGTTTTCCCTTCGTTGCACTGGCAGGTTATCAGTGGTTCTTTTGTCGTCCATCGATGACATCATTGCGAATGCTACATTGACAACACAAACTGTAGTCTGTGCAGTGCTATGATAGGTTAGTCTATGCAGCTGTGCGAGCGTTATTGTCACATTTTTCAGAAGCATGTTCTTCTATGACGCAGCAAAACATTTACAGATTGAAAACATACGTTTTTTTATATTTTTCAATCAGCACAGTCTGTAAAAGCACAAGGAGCATGAATCAATCGATTCAATTTGTCTAATAAATTCAAAAAAATCAAGTAATCGTCCTGTGAGAGCACAAGGAGCATACAAGTCAAGCACTTACCTGTACATAAACGTTCATCGCTGATCAAGATCATCGCTTTCTCGATCGAGATCATCGCTCTCGTTTCATCGCTGAAACGAGACCCAAAGTTCTCGTCTAAAACTTGTCTTTTAAAGTTCAGGAGTTGTATTTGAAAGTCAAATTAGAGTAGCGTGTTACCTTTGTTTGTGGGTTGAGCGTGTCATCGTCCCTATCCGAAAGGCTTATTTTGATTGTGCAGGTGTTGTTTATGTCCAACCGCACAACTATATTTAGCCAAATGGGACGCAAAATTGCTCTATCGGTAAGCAATAGAATTGTCCGTAGTAGCTTATTTCTATTGAAGAAAGGAGCCTACGCCATTCACATGGTGCAGCAATTCGTTTTAGTCATTGATCTGTGGCGTTATGTATTGGAGACTAACGCCGTTATGAAGGCGCTCGGCAAACTTTCGATACTTCAGTGCTGAGAATTTGAGCGTTTGCTGCAGTGTAACCTACCGGGTTTGTCGTAATTGTCGCCGCGAAAACAAATTTTCACAGATCGTATTCGTAAGTATCTGTAGCCTATGGCAAATAACTTCAGTTTGTCAGATAGTTACTATCGCATCGGGTTGTTTGTGGTCACCACAGACGTGGCAAAATACAAATCAGTTCTTAATAACGTGCTTTGCATGACGTCGGTGCGCATTTGCTTGCTTTAACAGGCGATTGTCCACGCTCCAGATGCTGAACTATCCGTTTGACCACATGCAATGGGTGATGTGGGTTGCGGTAATGTACACTGGGCGGGGGGGGGGGATTGTCTCTTCCTTAGATCTTAAAAGTCACAGATCCCATTCTCCGCAGCTGACGATGAATTGTTCATAACGTGGAACGGATCAACATCGCATGTGAATTGAAGGGGAGCGAAACGTTTTTATTCCTGAGGTATTTTTTTTTTTGCATTAATTGGTACCGTGGAAATGGACTGCTGTGCCTGGAGGTAACGTAGCTCCGTAGGCACTATACGCGTGTTTACATCTTTATGATTATTTTTGTCAGCTGAAAAATCGTAAACGTATCTGGTTAGTGCAAATGTGTCGTTTCTGATGAAACCGTTTTTAGGAATTTAGGCATTCTAACGCACCAATAAATGATCGTTTTCCATATGTGCAATGATGCATTTCATAGCGAATCAGTTTTATCAAAGATATATCCGGAGATGCATTTTAGGTACACAGGAGTAACACAGGAAACTGAGGATGTTATTTAATCGGAACGGAGCACTGTAACACGGAGCGCATTTGTTAAATGCATGCACCAGAGTTATGCCCAAGGAGTTATAGGGGAGGAGACAAAACCACATCTGGCGAAGTGAAGTCACCTATACATATATGTAGTTCCGCTGTCCTTTCGTCCTTCCTTCCCTACCCGGGCACCGACTAACACAAAAAGATGAAATGTTTTTTCGGCGTGAATAATGCATAAGCCTGCTTTAATTGAAACACGGATAAACCTAGATAGGCAAATACACACCCAGTTATTGGGCCAAACGCCCACCACCCCGTTTTGTTGCATCTGGGCTTGTCTCTGACACTGATGATCTAGCTGCCTGGGCTTGTCTCTGGCGCTAATGATCTAGCCATGTGGGCTTGTCTCTGGTGATGATCAGCTGCCTGGCTTGTCTCTGGTGCTAATGATCTAGCCACCTGAGCTGTCTCTGGCCACTGGTGACTAGCATCTAGGTTTGTCTCTGGCAACTGGTGGTCTAGCCACCTGGGCCTGTCTCTGGCACTGGTGATCTAGCCATCTAGGCTTGTCTCTGACACTGATGATCTAGCTGCCTAGGCTTGCCTCTGGCTTTAATTATCTGGCTGCCTGGGCTTGTCTGGCGCTGGTGATCTAGCCACGTGGGCTTGTCTCGGGCACTGATCATCTAGCTAGCGGGACGGTACAGAGCCCGGCGGACCCGTCCAGAGCCCGGGGGGACGGGCCGGTGCAGAGCCGGCGGACCCGTCCAGGGCCCGGCGGGCCGGTACATAGCCCGGCGGGCTGGTACAGAGCCCGGCGGGCCGGTACAGAGCCCGGCGGGCCGGTACAGAGCCCGGCGGGCCGGTACAGAGCCCGGCGGGCTGGTACAGAGCCCGGCGGGCCGGTACAGAGCCCGGCGCGCGTGATCGCCACCGCCCTGTGCCGCTGTGTATTGACTGGCTGGACTGGCGCGCCGCTGGTCGGGCCCGGCGGCCGTCACGCCTCGTCGGGTCGGGCCGCACCGGGACCCGCCATTTTCCGCTCTGGCGGCCGGCCGGCGCCGTCGCCGCGGCGCGTCACTTCGCGCCCGCATTTCACGGGTCCTCGCACACTGGCGCCCCGCGCGCCGCGACGGGCTTCATTCAGCACATGTAGCTACGAAGCGGCGGGCCCAGCGGAGGCGGCTGCGAAGCGGCTGCTTCGGCCGTACTGCTCGCCAGCTGACTTGTTTCCGAAAACGGATCGCCGGTGATTTGGGAACGGTAGGCAATGATTGCCTGGGCCGCTCCGAGCGACTTTGGGAGGCCCGTCTTTTCGCCACGCCAGCGTGCGCTGTTGATGTGGCCGTGGCCCCAGCTGCCTGCCACCTGCGCATACGGCATCGAGAACTGCGATGAGGCGTGATTAGTCAGAAACAAAAGGGCTTGGACTGCGCCGCATCACACTGGCGCACTGCGGGTCCGGCAAACGGTGCCCGCCCCGCGGGGGCGGCGGCGGCGGCGTGCGGCTCTGACACCTGTTGGTGCCTTGGAATGCGGCCGGATGTCCCTGGACATGCCATCGGCGCCATGCAACGATTTATGTGAGCCGCTTAAAATGTGCCGCTTAAGTCGTGGCACATATTAAGCGCCACGACCTAATATCTCCGGCTCCCACATTGCGAAAGTTAAGTCCCGGAATGAATCAGGGCAGCATAACCAGCCAGAGCGTGTCTAACCAACCGTCCATGATTTATTTTCTGTGTTACGTGGGTCAGTAGCAGGTCCTGTGAAATGCGGGGGAACATATCCGTAAAAGCCCGTCCCCATAAATGACAGACCCAAAGTTGAGAATGAGCCAAAAACGTCTTACGCATACCGATATATCGCCCTCAGTGTTCGTTCTTGTCCACGGCGTATTTCGTTTAGCAATTATGCTTATGGCCAGCGTCCTTATATCCGAGTCATCATATCTGTTTCTGTGCATTGTTTACGCCCCTGAACTTTTCGCACCCGTGTCCAAAGTACGGCGTGCCGCGTACTCTCACTCGTGCCCGAAGCACGTGCTGTATGCTCGTACTATTGGCGGAAGCACTCGCTGTGCACTCGTACTCCTGCTCTGCTCACTTTCCCTGGGCCTCTTTCCATGTCTTGTGCACGAACCACCACCAGTTCCCGGGTCCTGTTCACGCCCTGTTCCGTGTCCGTCCCAAGCCATTTTTACACCCCCTGCGCTCGTCCCTAGGACCCTGTTCACCTCTCCTGCGCCAGTTTCCAGGCCCTGTTCACCTCCCCTCCCCAGCCCCCCTGGCCCTGTTCACCTCCCATGTCAAAGTCCCCAGGCCCTGTTCACCTCCCTTCCCAACCCCTAGGCCATGTTCACCTCCCTTTCCCAACCCCCAGGCCCTGTCCACCTCCCCTGCCCCAGCACTCTGTTCACCACCTCTCAGCAGGCTCTGTTCACGTTGGCCGTGACTGTACGCAGGGCCGCTGTGTCCAGCCCACGTGGCTCGAGCCGGCTACAGAGCTGCCGCTCACGGCCTGCGGCTGAGGGGAGCCGGCCGGCCCCTGTTCGCCAACAAGTTCCCGAACTGGCCGCCACATCAGCTGCAGCTGCTGCAGGTGAGAGCAGCTACGGAACACCCGTCGGCAGTCTAGTGAACGTCCGATCATGGTCTGATGGACGTCCAATGGTAGTTTGTTGGGCGTCCGACGGCAGTCTGGTGAACGTCCGATGATAGTCTGATGAACGTCCGACGATAGCCTGTTGGGCGTCCGACGGCAGTCTGGTGAACGTCTGACGATAGTCCGTTGGGCGTCCGATGGTAGTCTGTTGGGCGTCCGACGGTAGTCTGTTGGGCGTCCGACGATAGTCTGTTGGGCGTCCGACGGCAGTCTGGTGAACGTCCGATGATAGTCTGATGAACGTCCGACGATAGCCTGTTGGGCGTCCGACGGCAGTCTGGTGAACGTCTGACGATAGTCCGTTGGGCGTCCGACGATAGTCTGTTGGGCGTCCGACGGCAGTCTGGTGAACGTCCGATGATAGTCTGATGAACGTCCGACGATAGCCTGTTGGGCGTCCGACGGCAGTCTGGTGAACGTCTGACGATAGTCCGTTGGGCGTCCGATGGTAGTCTGTTGGGCGTCGTCCGATGATAGTCTGTTGGGCGTCCGACGGTAGTCTGTTGGGCGTCCGATGGTAGTCTGTTGGGCGTCCGATGATAGCCTGTTGGGCGTCCGACGGTAGTCTGTTGGGCGTCCGATGGTAGTCTGTTGGGCGTCCGATGATAGTCTGTGGGCGTCCGACGGTAGTCTGTTGGCGTCCGATGGTAGTCTGTTGGGCGTCCAATGATAGTCTGTTGGGGGCGTCCGATGATAGTCTGCTGGGCGTCCGATGATAGTCTGTTGGGCGTCCGATGATAGTCTGTTGGGCGTCCGATGATAGTCTGTTGGGCGTCCTGGGAAGGTTTGATCATAGTCCGGTACATGTCCGATAATACTGCGGTGAACGTTTGGAGAGAGTGTGTCGAGCTGCGGTGAACGGCTATCGGTAATTCGGTACTCACCGGTACAGAAGTAGCTCACTGTGGCTGGGGACTCCGATTCACAGAATTCGAATAGAGCGGAATAAACTTGTCATTCGCTCCATTGCATCGCATCAGTTCATTGTTTTTATTTTTATCAGAATCCACTTCCGACCTCACCTTCCCTGAGGTCCAGTCTGAAACTTATCGGGAAGGGATGATCAACAGGCTATTTCGCTGTCAAAAGGCAACAGCAGGCATGGTAGCTAACATAACCTCGTTAAAAATGTGTTCAAGGAGGCTGCAAACAAAATGTCAAAATACCTAAGCTTCCCAAAGTTAGCTAGTGAACCCCCCCCCCCCTTTCACCTGCTTCCAGAAGCAGCAGCAAAAACTATCAATCACGCTCAATGGTTCGTTTGCGCTGCCTCCTCTGCCCGCATTGACTGTTCGCCACCAATCACGTTGAAGACCGGAGAGTGCATCAACAGCAGGCGGTGTTTTTGCATCTGACACGGCAACGCCCGATCGGGTCCCGTCTTGACTAGGAAAATGTGGTTTAACTCAATGTAGTGAGAGTAATGGAGACGTGCATGAGTTGATGAGTAGGCCTTGCAACAATGTATTTCCCTTTTTGTTATCATTCTATAATGAGGAGGGCCTTGTGGCTCATATAGCAAGTTTAATTTGTCATAGTGAGAGAAATTGAGACTTTTATGGGTTGAGAAATAGGCCGTACAGCGATTTATTCCCCCTTTTATTATCATTTTATAATGCAGAGAGCGTTATGGTGCATATAGCAAGTTTCATGTGGTGATTGGTACGTGGTGCCTTCCATTGCAAAATAACGGAATTTTTCCATTTCAGTAATGGGACTCGGAATTACTATACCATAACGGCTTGACATTAAAAATGCGCCACGATACCAATACTACTAATGCATGATGATCGCTCGCTAATTGCCCATAGTGGCCACGGCGAAGAAAACTCCGGAGAAATATCACGCCGTAAACTGCAAGCGCCTGGCAGCAATAAATGTTATGGAATATTTATGAGGGAGAGCGTTATGAGCACGAGCATTATGAGAGGTGTTGGTCTCCATCTAGTCATATGACCAGAGCATGCGAAAGTTAAGATGCGGCCGTCCATTATCCACTCGGTCGGTGATAGCTAGCTGTCGTATCTCGTCTGGTAACGGCGATTTTAATCGACGAAAAGATCATTGCTAGTTTGCAGCCGCGGCTTTTTCTCGACGTTCCGGGATTTTGTTTTGTCAAAACAATAATGTTTTCGTCAACAGGTTGTCAAAGAGGGGTTCAAGCGTGCTTCATAAAATGACTAAAACGCTTAAAGTGGCGTCGGTCTTGGCAGACTGACTGAAAAAGCGTCAGGCGGCGTGTTGTAACCACGGTGAGGCATGATAACTGAGGTCCCTTCAAGTAAACACGAGCACACACGAGAGCATCCCCACACAACATGCGCGTATGTACGCACATCATTTCTATCGGCTCCGGCTGGTGGCTGCTCACGCTGCCAACACCCTGGGAAAAATGCACACAAAGATGGCTTCCATGGCAAAAACACAGCTACGATTCTCGTGGCGGCGATAAATGATGAATATGCCCAGCTTTGTGCAGCTGGTAGATGCGGCTGTTTGTAGCTGCTGCAGGACAGTACGATCCGAAAAGACCGCCGCACTCAGGCGAGCTGGGTTGACTCCACCAACCGAATGGACAGTACGCGGCCACCGCAGTAGAGCACATTTTTCAGTTGGTTTGCCAGAAAATCGGAGCTTATGCAAATAACGCAGCTCAGCGATCTAAAATCGTCAATAAAGACCCAGCAGTTTCCTTTGGAACTGCATTGTCAACTGTTGTCCATCATCGTCATATCAATAATATAAGGTGACTGCAGAGTCGGAATAATTCAACGTCGCCGGGCTGGATCTATGTGGCTTTACCTCTGTGATATGTTCTGACCCAATATCAACATTAGTGACGGAAGAGCCCTGCCTGTGGCCGTTCGACCGTATTGATCTGAACACTAACATGACCAGCTTGAGCCGGGATGATTACCTCCCTTGAGCCACCGTCACGCACGCGTCTAATGATCCAGTGACCTTGGCTGACCTGTAGGCTTGTCTAGAAATGAACCCGGCCCTTCTGATGCTGCGTGACCTCTGGCTGGCCTGCAGATCTATCTAGAGACGACCCCCGACCCTTCTGATGGCTCGGTGACCTCCAGCTGGTTTGCAGCCCTGTCTAGGTATAAACCCCGGCCACTCTGATGCTAGGTGATCTCTGGCTGGTTTGCAGGCTTGTTTAGAGATGGACCCTTGCCAGCGGCCAGACTGTGCCGTTCTCGTCCAGCATGAATACTTCACACACGACCAGTTCGCCGACAAACACATGGACGAGATCACCAGAAGAATACAGCAGGTATTGTTGAATCAAGGAGGTTCCAGTGGATGCGCCCACGCAACATGCGACGTTTGAATTGCAAAATAAACCTAGATTCAACAAGAATTTGGTTGTGTTCAGGGACATCTTATTGCAGGTAGACAACACTGTAGAAATAAGCTGATAGCAATGGTTGAAACGCAGACACATTGTCAACGCCTGATTTTTTTCTGACAGTTGCTCGCACTGTCTAGGAGTTTTCAACAACTATGCATCGACGAAAACTCGGCAATATCTCGCTCTTTAAGAAGAAAATCGATAGCAAGCTTTCCAACCGCAAAGAAAACGAGGAAAAGTGAGTAGCGGATGGTTTGCATTCGCTGCCTTTTATTTCAAGTTCTGTGCATAGCATTGCAGAAAGATTATCTTCCTATATTTCTATCTACGTCTATCTATATAACGTGTTACGTAAGCAAAATATGTGTTGGGATATGACAACGTCCGTGTTCCGCTCCCGCCACATGATCTCTCATTGTCACAGGCGTGGTCTTCGCTCTATTTCCCTGAATGGTGTGTGACCCCACCGCTGCCGGTCCTCCGTGGATGGTGTGACCCTGCGCCGGTCCTCGTGGATGGTGTGTGACCCTGCCGCCGCTGGTCCTCTGTGGATGGTGTGTGACCCTGCCGCCGCCGGTCCTCGTGGATGGTGTGACCCTGCCGCCGCTGGTCCTCTGTGGATGGTGTGTGACCCTGCCGCCGCCGGTCCTCTGTGGATGGTGTGTGACCCTGCCGCCGCTGGTCCTCTGTGGATGGTGTGTGACCCTGCCGCCGCGTCCTCTGTGGATGGTGTTTGACCCCACCGCCGCCGGTCCCAGGCCCGCCAGCCGCGGACGCCCGTCAGACGGCAGGCTCAGCGCGCCGGCGGCCCGATCCCGCCCATTGGTCAGCCAGCCGCAGTGCCAGTGACGTCATACAGCTGGGTCAAGGACGGTCTGGCCGGGTGGAGCATCCTCGGCCTTGGCAGGTACCGCACACAGCAAACTGTTACGGCTGCTTTGATTGTAAATTTGTGAAGTGAGGACTGTTTTGGTTCTGCTGAGTTCCATCTGACAATGCCGCCTTCGTGACCGGGGGGGGGGGGGGGGGGAGCCATGGCGGACTGGGTATTCATCGGCGCTGAGTGCGGGTGCCAGAGACGGTGCATTGCTTGCCCTTACTGGCATGAAAAGGTCAAGTGGAAGGTGATCAGCTAGGATCACCGCGTCACTTTGGACGGCCGTGTCGCGTCATTGTGTGGCAGGTCCTTGGCTGGCCGCGTCGCATCACTGTATGGCGCGTCCTTGGATGACCGCGTCGAATCATCATGTGGCACGCCATTGGCTGCCCGCGTCCTATCATTATGTGGCACGTCCTTGGGTGGCCGCGTCGCATCATTTTGTGGCACGTCCTTGGCTGGCCGCGTCGCATCATTATGTGGCACGTCCTTGGCTGGCCGCGTCGCATCATTATGTGGCACGTCCTTGGCTGGCCGCGTCGCATCATTATGTGGCACGTCCTTGGCTGGCCGCGTCGCATCAATTTGTGGCACGCCATTGGCTGGCCGCGTCGCATCAATATGTGGCACGTCCTTGGCTGGCCGCGTCGCATCATCATGTGGCACGTCCTTGGCTGGCCGCGTCGCATCAATATGTGGCACGCCATTGGCTGGCTGCGTCGCATCATTATGTGGCACGTCCTTGGGCGGCCGCGTCGCATCATTATGGGGACGGCAGTGTGTCGCGCTGTGTGCGGCACGCTGCTGCACTCCTCTCTCGCGAAATGGTTAAGGCCAAGTTATCCGTTGAGCTGAATGGCACGATTTGGGTGACGCATTCCGGGTTTACGCAACATGCTTTGCTTGGGAAGCACCCCGAACCATATAAAGTCCCATGCACTCTGTTTCAAGTAACATTTTTCGAGTGGTTTGCATGGGTGGTTTTGCGCTTCAAAATGCCCCCTTAAGTAGAGCTTGCTGTGTATACCCTCAAGACATTACCCATCTTGTATCAGGCATCTGGTAATTTTGCCGCGGCCTTTTCTGTGGAGAGCGCTGCAGGGGTGTGCGCGTCGTGCAGTGCCACGACATGTCCACCGCGGGCTAGGCTGGCCTTCGTCGGCTGGTTACAACTGACCTTTCCATACCAGTCTGGCCACCCAACGCACCCGTCCTAGAGCTCGTACCCAGCGCCGATGGTACACGACATGGACGTTTTTTGTTACAGAAAGCATTGAGGTATCTGCGTCACCACAAAAAAAAAAATGACGAGAGAAAACATGCGATGAACTTTGTTTTCCGTACGCGCATTTATGAGCAGGACTCTACCCCACCAGGCCAACTCACCATCGGCACTTTACCGGACGTGCAAAGGACTTAACGCTGTTTACTTTTTATCAGTCCCAGTCACTCGTTACCCGCTTGATTACCATTTCCAAGTTTTTGTCGCTAATTCTAAGAGATTTTAAAAGCTTACGCCTAGTTTTGCTAAGTTTGCACAGATAAGCGCAGAAGCCATAATGATGGGGCTAATTTGATTCGTAGGTGTAGTGTAGAAGTAGTAATATTGCATGTCATTTGTTGCATATTTTACCAACATCTCTCAGTCCACACCCATGCCAGATCGCATACATGCCAAGTGTTTGTAGGGGTCTACCTTATCCACTCGTTATCCATCGACAAGACGCATTCTTCAGCGTGGGATGAGCGAAGCAATAAAAACATTACAGTGATGATTAGTCATCATTAGCATAATGCCACAACTAAGCTGGGTAGTCAAACCAATATATTGAATACCGTCGGCCGACAGCATTGTTGCAGTGCCAGCTGATAGCTCTGCAAGGTACAGGTGTGCTACCAAATGCACACGATCACACTCTGCGACAGTGATTATGGGTCGTTTTCAACGCTGCCTTATGTTCGCCGTCATGCTTCTGACAGGCCTGGCGCCTTTAGTGATGTGCCGTTATGAGGCCAACTGAACGAAATAGGGTCCGACACCTGACAACAAAGCTTCGTTGCCACCAGGTCGGGGTGTAATGGTCGAATAGTTTGCACCTTCCGCTCCCACCTGGGGACCAGGGCTTGAGTGCCGGTAGAGCCATGACCCGTTAGCGCTTATATTATCCGTGCAGTCGTCGGTGCTCTATGAAAGTGTGCACGACGAGGTGGGTCGAGAACCCTAGAAAAGCATCCCATGGCCAGCCACTGCCACCGGTGGAAACATGTAATCAAAGGCCGAAGGATATTTGCTTCTAGAAAGCGTTGCAGTCAGACCTGGCTGAGGCGTAGCGCATAAGACAAAAATGTCATGATAAATGGCTTACGTTTGACTCACTCTGCCTGTGGTCTCGCTCGAAACAACATGTGGATGGCCATGGATTTGCCCGGCCCGTGCAGACGTTATATAGCTGCGCCTCCCTCCTCAATGCTCAGTGCCACCGCGTAGCCTACATGACGCCGGCGGTTTCAGGAGTAAGCAGCAGCCCCCATCCCGGTCCAAGACACCGGCTGCTGGACGGGCAGCAGGGAACTCCGGTCCGGGGCTGTCCGGTCGAGGTCGGGATATGACGGCACGAGGCCCCGCCCCCTCGCAGCTGCGGCCGACCGTGCTTGAGCTCATCCGCCAGCAGCGCCGCCAAGCGGAGGATCCCGGAGTCACGTTGCCCAACGTGCGGGGCGCCGGTGAGAATAAGTAATAATAAGTTTGGTAAAGCCACGCCCGTTTTTGCGGCAAATCGGCACTCTGGTCACCGCCATTTGCCTAGCTTTTGAATGTCGTATCCTCCATAATGCAATGGTTTTAAGAATGTAACCCTACCTTCTTTTCATTCGCATGAAGATTCAAATTCACGAAGGAGAAAAGCTTGCAAAAATGTCAGCGTCATAGCACGCTCCCAGTTTTTTTAACGTCCACGTATTGCCGCTCTCTAGTCAATTTTCTCTCTCTATGGCTTCGGCTAATCATGCATGATCAGTGACGACTCAAGTCAAACATTCCGACAACAGTCTAAAAAGCAAAACCACAATAGAGCATGTAAGATCTCCGAAATCGATGCTTAAAGATTGATGTTTTCTCTTACGAAAGGCGTATCATCCGCTGAGATTCCACTAATGTCCAATATTTCCAGCAGCGGGTGGACTTTGGTGAAGCTTCAGAGGTGAAAAATTCGTTTCCGGCTCTATTTGGGAACATGTTTTGAAGTCTTTCACATTTATTGTTATGCTGACCGTGTCCCAACTTTGCGCAAATCAAACTAGAATTACTTGAGTCATAACGGCGATTTCTGCGTCATTCGGTTACATTCACGGTGTGAATGTTTTATCTTAGTAGCAGATGATACAGGCTGATGTGCATGATCTGGCCCAATCCAATGCAGCTGTCTTTTAAAGTGGCTTTTCAAGGTCTTTTTTCAAGGTCCTTTTTATGTGATAATTTTAAATCCGTGGCGGTCAGCCACTGGAACAGAATATTTTTCAAGATAATTGGCATCGGTCTCTCACATTCCAACGCCATGCTGTGTAATATGCCGCATATAGCATACACATTTTGCATATTTGCTAGATTCCGTACCTGTATATCAAAGTTAAAATTCGTTCGAATGTAGTCGGCATCGATTTTTCAAATTAAGTGAACGAAAATCCATGTGCTCTGAAGATGTAGTTTTAAAGCCGTAACATTTTAGACCACTTTGACAGAACATTTTAAATGCCGGAAGAATATCGGCGTATTTGCTGTTTGGCAATTTGACCTTCACCTTGGACATTTCATTTTTTCAGTCCGCATCCCTCTGGGCTCTCTGCCTATGCAGCTTGACCTTATTCCAACGCATTTATATTGGAAGTGTCTCATCCTAGCTCAGTCTAATTCAGTCCCTCAAACATAAAACAACTTGCATTGTTAAACATCAGTTCAGCAACGGAACAGTCGCAAATATCTCGGTTGTTTGGCTACATCAATTTCTGGTTGTGTAAATCAGGTAACATGTGCCTTTTTCTTATCGGGTATCGCAGTAATCAGCATCAACCTTGACTCCATTTGTCATTGTCATCATTTGTGTAACTGCTACCCAAAGTTCCTAACATTCTTCTATTTAGCAATTAAACCACATGCGCCTGTCACCAGTAACCCGGGCTGAATCGAAGACGAGTAACAGGGTGTCGATGTCGTCGCCGATGCCGACGTCATCGAAGCGCCTAGCCAGTTCGACTGCGCAAGTCACTGCATCTGATCTCCGTTTCACGGTAAGCGCTTCTGATCTCCGTTCTGCGGCAAGCGCTTCTGATCTCTGCTCCACAGAAATCGCTGCTGACCTCCGTTCCACAGCAAGCGTTCCTGATCTCTGCTCCACAGAAAGCGTTTCTGATCTCCCTCCGCGAAAAGCGCTTCTTATCTCCGCTCTACGGTAAGCGCTTCTGATCCCCGTTTCACAGCAAGCGCCTCTGGTCTCCGTTCCACGGTAAGTGCTGCCGTCCAGGCCCGTTCGAATTATTACGCGGCCGGGGACGCTTCTAACCCGAAAACAAATGTGGCCCTCACGGAGATGATATTCGGGTGACATCGGTGTCAGATAGCTTCCGAATAAATACGCAATTTATGTTATGGATAGTCGGAATATGCAATAGCATTCATTGCAAAGCTGTTATCTCTCGTAGCCCGCCAGTGTCCGTAAACTGGGAGAAGTCAGTTAAGTCAACGATAGTAATGGCATTATATATGAGGCAATCGAGGAGCATGTGATTGAACGTTCAGGTGTTTGATCCTGTGTGCAGTGTAACGCAAATGCAATCGTTTCTCATGGACACGACATCTTCCAGGTTCATTGGTTGATCCCTTGATTTGGCTGCACGGAGCCAGAAGGTTGTTCAAACACACTCAGGGAATGGCAGCATTAAAGGATATCCCACCCGGAAACGCATTAAGTTGGATTGAGGAGCATCAAAGGATACCACTGCAAGAAGATACGTTCATGCATGCACATCTCAAATGTTGAGTTGAAATTGGCTGACATTTGACAGAATTATCGCGATGTTCATGAATTAGGTACTGGTGCGGATTAAGGGTTTCCGAAAAATGTCCAAGGGCAGTGAAAAGGCGAACGGGAAACAACTTGTCTCCGTTCAAAAGTGCCGACACGGGGCACCATATTGAAGTGTCCCTCACAACCGGCAGCAGGAATACAGCAGACATCATGTTGCAAGAAATATCAACCTTCAGCCCTGCTATTGAAGTTTGTTCCAAATTAGCACTTCCCCGATGATGATTCTATGATCACACCAAATACTGAGATAGTTCGGTGGGGACTTATGTCAACTCACGTATGTTTGTAATGCAATGCATGGAATGCTAGTTAATGCACTCATTGCTGGTTGGCTTAAGATTTCAAAGTACAATTACAGTTGTAT